TTAGGATGTAAAGTTAATCCTGTTACACATGATTAATTTTTTTCTTGTTATGATTTCTGTTTTTATTTACATTTTCATTAATTTTAGAAATTATTTTTAATATTAAAGTGATTTAGAGCCTAGAGTCTAGACTACAATAAAATTTTATTTATATACCTAGTTAATTTATAAGTTTAATGGAATTTTTTCATTTATATGTAATAGAAAATTTATTGCTAATTTTATAAGAAGAAATATCACGCGTGAAATACCTTCCTTAAGAAATTTCAACTACATTTAATTTTGGTTTGGTTATTCAAGTTTCTCGTTATTCTGTACATCGCTGCCAGTTATTGTGTTCTTGTTTGAAGCAGATGACTTTGTCCGAAATATAGAATTCATAGAAAACATTTCGCTCATACTCCATTAATGCATGATCTAGATACACAACACATTCACTCACTTTTTTCTTACCTAAGGTTTTATTATGTAATTCGATTTTCGTATTCGGAAAAATGGTAGGGCTATAAGAATTACATAAATAACTAATTACGTATGCAATGAACTGTTTTATACGCACATATCAAATAGAAAACCAAAAATTACTCACGCATTAATAATTTGCTTCTCACTAAATGTATATTTATTTTTGTGTACATATATGCGAATTCGTTTATTTTAGTTAGAATTTCTTATACTGAAATATGAGAGTAACACTAATTATGAGAGTAATCAACTCAATAAAAACGTGGGAGTCGTAATTTGAATTTATAAAGTTTTTTGTTCGACAATCAATGAACTTTACGGTCACATTTCTGTATAATTACAATTATGAAATTTACACTTCCGTTTCACAATTATTTTTGATCGTTTTTCTATAATCTTATGTGTGGGAATAAATTATAAATCAAACAGGATATTATTAAAAAACTTTTACTTCCTAATTTTGTTTACACTTTTCTACTCACATTTATTTTCTTATACTAAAATTATTAATAATATTTGTAAACAAATTACATAAACACTCTTACATGTGCAAGTTTTACATATGAGTAATCAAAACTGACAAATAATACAAAAAAAAATCATCATGACATTGTGGATGACACGACACGAGTACTATTCTTATAAAAAAAATTCTTTTTTTAATAATTTATTTAAGGATAATTTTTTTTTTTGCCAAATCATTCAATAAATATTTTTGTTTTGTTCATTTTTTACTTCATAGTCTGAATCCGTTCATATTCCTACTTCAGTAACATTTTCGAGCACATGTAAAATTACAATGAATAATAATTTTTTTATTTTTTTCACTAGCGCTATTGTTTTTCCATATATTCAGGTGATTGACTGTCACGTGTTATCTTTAATTGAATATAACGATATATTCCACAGGAGAATATATTTTTTTGAATTTATAGTAATATTCTTTTTTTCAATATTTTAATGATATGCGTGCAAGAAGTGTGACCAAAACCAAAAAAACACAAAATTTTCACTATCATTTTTGGTTTATTACATAGGAAATGTGTGTACCTACAAGGTATACTAAGGTAATGTCTAATTTTATACTCATTAATTTAATCAAATTTCATTGATTTAACAGAAAATTTTATTAAAATAAACATTGAAAATAGGCGAATACTAAAATTTTATTCAAAATTTTTTACATAAAATTTTTAATTTACGTGTAAAACAAACAATCACATGCAGTTTGTTTGAATGATTCGGCAATTTTAATATCTGAAAGTGATTGAAAAATAATTGAGGTAAAAAAACCCAGGCAAAGAATCTATTTTTAATTTCTTTTTTGCATTCCCAAAAATTTTCGAAATCTTTAAAGCCAATTAAAGAGAAATTCGAAATAAAAAGAAGTGAGCCGTCTCATGAGCGCTGAAGTATCTAAAAAGATTTTACACTTTCCGTTGTTTCTTTTGTAATTACTCCTTTACTACCCTCTTACATTTTCATATTTGTGTACCTTTATACTGTTTTATGCTCTCTTAGTGCGGAGAATCGTTACGGAGAAATTCGGATGTCAATATTAATACTATGCTCCATAGGTTGAAGGTTGATTTGGTTACAAAAATATTTATTTTAAAATATCGGGAGCTTAAAAATGCTTATATTTCATATCAATTTTGCAGATTTTAGCCGGCGTCAGGCGTGTCATAAATTTTAATGAGTTAAGCCTCTCTTTTTATAGAGTTACTCTTATTTTATGCTCTCTTTGTTTTTATAATTACTCTCTTTGGTTTATAGAGTTACTCTTATTTTATGCAATTTTTTTATGATTCTGCTTTTAATATTTGTAATAAGTTTGTACAGCAAATTGTAATATTGTCAAAATATAGTATTTTAGGAAAAATTTCAATTACTCTCTATTTTTATTTATAAAAATTATTTTTTACAAAATCCAAATTTTAAGTCAAAAATTGTGCCCCTTTATACTCACAGTTTTGATAACTAAAATTCTTCTGCACTAAAATATTTGAAATTTTGGTTTTCAATTCAAGAAGATCTACAATATTTACTGTCACAGTCACATATACAAAATAAAATTGCAATTTTAATTTAATTATACATAAATAGAGTTCAATTTAAAGTGATGGTAACACCCATATATTTATTTAACATCAAAAATACCAATTTAATTATGATGATTTTGCAAAAAAAAAAAAGAAAAAAAATTTCCAATTTCTTTTTTTTTTTGTATTTTTCAAGGAATGCGGCGACGTATTTAAAATTTAATAAATGTTTTATAATTTCGTCCTTTTTGCATTTTTCATTTTATTATTGTGCCATTTGCAATTAATTCGTCATAATAAAAGAGGAAGAGGAACAAAATAAAAGAAAAAAATTTCAAACAACCCCAATTTACCAGCAATTTACAATAATAAGAGAAAGAAAAAAAAATTTAAATTGTATGTAAATACTTCATATACACATCCTCATAAACCTCCAGTTTGAACTTACAAATTGGTACTTTTAAAATGGTCACGGGCGGTTCATTTAATTTTTCAGTTTTTTTTTTCTGAAAAATTATGCTGACATACATAGAACGGCTGTTTCGCGCTCTCGTAGGCTGCAAAAAATCATTTAACTAAAATTACAAGTCATATTTACAATAATAATTGAAAAAAAAAAAATCGTTTCTACGCATAATTTTTACGAAAAGGTGCTTATTAAAATTTTGATTTTATTATTTTATTTTTTCTGCGAGTGGTAGCAGCACTGGTAAAATTTAACATTTTTTATTGTGAAGCACTTTAAAAATGAAAGTCGTTCAATTAATTGCGGTTAAAAGAATGATGCTAAACAAGAATTATGGAATGAATGAAATAAATTAGTTCAATATCAAACCAAATCGAATTACTCAATTCGGTTTTGTTTTTGAATGAGTTAAGAAAATCGCAAGAAGATCTTATGTAATACTTTAACAATAATGTTAATTTACGTTATAATTGCAGCTGTAATATTGTAAAAACTGTACCTTCCCCACCCTTTCATCAACGTTAATCTTCCAACTAAGCTTTGAGTCGAACACAATATCCAAGTATTTATAATTTAAATTTTGGTTTTAGTCGTAAAAAGTACTAGCTCCGCTTTCTCCGAGTTCATTCCTAATTAACATTCCTTGGTCTAAGATTCTAAAAGAGCAGTGTCATTGTTAGTGCATCGAACCCCGCCCTGGGACGTTTCTTTACTGGTGCGACTAATCACCATATTGCCAGCAAGTTCCGGAAAAAAAATTTTAGATTGCAATACCGACACCAGCCACCAAACCACCTGCATCTCTACACCAAACTTGGCTAGAGAGCCTTGAATTGCTCTCGAGCCAACATTATTGAAGGCTACCTCAACATCTAGAAAGGATTTTAGTGTATACTGTTTGTATTGAAACAAACTTTTGATTTCACAGAGTTTTTTGCACTTAAAATATAGAACTCTTGATCATATCACGTTTAATTTGTAAATAACTGTGATCTAATTATGTTTATACGTTACTTAAGAACAAGTACCATTATAAAAATATATTCACTGGGTACACTTTACCATTTACGTTATAAACGATTAACACAAATATTTTAAAAGTTTTAATGGCAAGACCAACTCCAAAAAAATTTTTAGAACAAAATTTCGAATTTCTTAAAGTGGAAACAAAATATTTTTAAATTTTTTTTTGTTTTGCAAAAATTATGCATCAGAATTGATGAAACTCTACAATTTTACTGTCATAATTACAATAAGGAAAATAAATTAAATAAAAAATGCAAATATGTAATTACATGACAGTAACATTTCTAAAACGTTGGCATAATAACAATAAGCATAACATAAAATCGCAAAATTCTGACGTTTTTAATATTAGAGAATTTTAAAGAGAAAAGAGAACTTTTTCAAATCGTTACAATAATTTATTAAAATTAATACAATTTTTTAATTTGCTCCTAATATTTAATATCTACATACATATACACATGTATTATAATAAGTATGAATTTATTTGCCAATGTTCTTATAAAATTTATATACCTATGATTTCTTCCGGTCAATTGAGACCGGAAATATTTAAATTCGCAGAATATTCATTAGCACTGTAATTACACGGTACAAAGTTAGTCATTTTTTTTTTTTAATTTTATTTCATATAATTTTATATAACAATGAAAATTTTATAGATTCTATGCTATAAGAAAATTCATAAAATTCATACATAGTTGCTACAGGAATACTATACTCACATATATAAATATAGATTGTAGTAAATGATTCAATTCAAATGCAAATTAATTTTGCAAAGATCATCGGAATAAAATATTGAAAAATAATCTAGATATTGTAGATTATTAAAATAATAACACAAAAATTATATTTAATTTTTTAGATTAATTATATATAAAGAAAATTTTGCTACTTCATGTAAAATAATTTTTGTTAATATTTTGTTAAAAAAAATTGCAATTAAATAATTAAATTTTCATAATAAAAATTTATTAAATATTAATTAATATTTACAGATCACTGCGGTTACAATTTTAATGCACACTGAAAAGATTTCGGCTGAAGGTGAGTTGAAGTTTTAAAAAATTAGTAAATAAATTGAATTGCATCAAAAATTTTAATAAATAATACTATCATAAATTACTACCCCTCCTCTCCCTCTACCGGCAAACTCCTTCCTCTCCTCTCAAAAGTGACAGTTCGTTTGACAAATCTGTCAATAATTTCGTTTGTTTTGTTAAAGCGTCTTACTGACGAAATTGAATACGAGTCTAATAATGCATAGAATATAAAATAAATTTCGTAATGAAAATTTTATTCCAAATTTAAAAAAATATTTAGAAAATATTAGTTCGCAAGGAAATGTGCTGCTTTTACAACAGGACCCATTCAGAGTAAATGAAATCTTATTTATTTTTATTTAAAATTTAAAATTAAATTAATTAAGAAAAATAATAGAAAAAATTCAATTATATTTGAAATTATAATTAAGAATTTTAATTATTTCACAATTATAATCCCAATTAATTTTGTATTTATTTTTTTTCTTCTCAAAATATACAAAAAAAAAATCGTTACCTGCCCTAATAACCTGTTCATTTCCATATAATTTGAAAAATGCAAAAAAAAAAAAACAACAAATTTTTTTTTTTTTTTAAATTCTTAAAATAAATTTTAAAAATTATAAAAAAATTTTTTATTTCTCTCTCTCTCTCTCTCTCTCTCACTCACTTTTACATTAGATCCTTAAAATATCCTTGCATTTTTACTAGTGTAGAAGTACTGTGAATTTTAATTTCACATTCATAAAAATTTATTTTAATTTTTTTTTTTTTTTGCATTTTTACCTGAATATCATGATAATTCATATATTCGGATGAATTGATTCAGAGTGCATTTTTGTTGGTTGTTTTTTTTTTGTTCTTCTTCTTGTTCAGCAGGATATAATCTAGTTTACCTACAAGTTATTGCGGTATATTCATTTATATATATATACACAATTATACAAGAGCACGAAATGAAAATTTTGTGTTTATCACTGTGCAAAGGTGTGTAGTATATAGTGTAGTCTATGCATTCCAGAAATCACAATACAGCAAACTGCATGCATAGCTTAAATATATGTAAATATACATTATACATAAATATTTTAACAACACATGCACACACACATTCAATAATAATATAGTTATGGCATTTATATTTATGTATATACACATGTATGTATTTAGGAGAAATAAGATTCCAAAGAAATCCTACAAGGATAATAAATCTCTCGGTATGATATTGAAAGAAGTCCTTGATGTTGCGGCTGAAATGACATTTAAAATAACATTTTCGTTTCTTTTTTTTTTTTTGTTATAAAATTTTTTGCGTTGCATTTCGTGTTGCTGGAATATTTTTTAAATAAAAATGTAAGTAGGTTTGTGTGTGTGTATAGTTATGATTTTGTTAAAAATCTTCTAAATTTTTATAGTTTTCCTGTGCAGTTTTCTAGGAATTTTTAAATAAAATTTAAGATGAGATTTTTATTTTTATTTTTATATGATTATAAAAAAAAAAATTTTCAGTTTAGCTTCATTCTGCCATTTTGGATGCTAAAAATTATAACATTCATAACAATAAACCACAATGGATTAGAAATGCAAAAAAAAAAATAATTTATGGAAATTTGTAGATATGTGCAATGTGCATTTACCTTATTAAGTCAGGATCTATAATATTGTATATTTGTAGGAATGTTAATACGGCCAGATATACATGATTATTTGCAAGAGAAAGAAAAAAAATTTTAAATTTTTCGCAAAAAGAGGATTGCAATTTTCATAGTTAATATGAAAAAAAAAGAAGAAAGAAAAAAAATATATTTAATAAGAAATTTTTCGTCCTCTTATAGATCTTCTTAGAAATATAGACGATAAAATTTGAGAAAAAAGAAACAAATGGCTGCTTTCAAAGATTTTAAATTTTTTTATTCTTCTCTTTCTTGTTGTTTTATGAGAAAATATTAAGAGATTCTTAAGAGATTAATATTAATTAATTTTTTTATTTCTTTCTGAATTTTAAATAGAATTTTTATTATTAATTTTTGTAAAAATAAAATATTTTAAATAATTTCTTAAAATAGTAGGCAATAATTTTTTATTGATGTTAGGAAAAACTGAAATTATTTTATAAAATTTTCTTTTCACGAAAAATTATGCTATTTTTGAATAATAGCTAAAACATGATTGTTGTTAGCCCAACTTTAATTATACGGAAGGATTGCAAGAATAAAACATTATAAGGAGGCTCTATTGGCAGAAACTTTTAGAATATTTAAAAGAATTCACAATTAGTACAAGAAGAAAACAAAAACTGAATTTAGGAATTTTCGTTTTAATTAAATTCAAAGCAGAACAAAAATTATTTAATAAAAAATTCAAAATGGATCAATTTTTAACAAATGAAAATTGATGAATGGCAAATATTACAAAATTTTGCTTTAATATCATTAAAGGGATTCTGAATATGATCCTAATAATATTATAAGTCAAATTTTAACTTCAATGAAAAAACCTGAACCAAGGGAAAGTTTCGGCTCTCTACCGATTGTCTATACACGAGCGAAAGAATCACAGTTTTGTCTTATTGCAGGTATTTAAAATTTTATTTCGAAAATTATTGAGCCTATTTCATTATTCCCTAAAAAAAATTCAATTTAATTTTTTTTATTAAAAAACAAATATTTTTTTAAGAGCTCGCCACAACACAAACATTTTTCTATATAGAAGGACAGGAATAATGAACAGCACTCCCTCGGATTTTCAAACAACACTACTTTTATATACCAATACTTTGCAATCAATACTTTGTTTTTTGCATTTGATTCTCTGTACAACTTATGGAAGCCATATGCTTTACCTTGGATAGAAATTTTCGCTTTCCTCATAATCAAATCAACAACCTTCTAGTCACGTAAAATTTTGATTCTTTTCCACATGAATAAGCAACATGACCACAATGACCTGAATAATACTCCTATTCTTGTAAGCAAATAGTTGAAAGTTTTAAATAATTTTAACACGACATTGTAATGTTATATTACATTTCTTCAATTTTTCCGGAATCCACTTACAGCGTTATTCATTCACAAAATCCATGTTAATTTGCGCCATATTTTTATCTTCAATATATTTAAAAACACGTTTGTTTACGTACATTTTAATTCCAAAACGTTAATGTAGTAGCAGACAAATGGTCTCCAAAAAAAAAAGAAAGAATCGATTCCCAGATCAAAAAACAAAATCAAAGAATTTATCAAAGAATTTTTGTATTATAAAAAAAAAACCAAGAATATTGAAAATAATTCCAAAATGTCTAGCGAATTTCATATATGAGCGCCAATTAGTCTGCACACCGTTTTAATAAAAATCAAAGGGATTAACATACAAAAAAAAAAAAACGAGAAAATTTTTAAATTCATTTTTCTTCCTTAATTCTATAAATTATCTTAAAATTACGTCCAGGTAAAAATGCACGCACCGCATTCAGGTGTTATACAAAAAAAAAACACATATCAAAAGGAAAAACAAGAATAAAAAAAAAGTTGGCACATTTTTTTTCCAACTTGCAATCGTCGTTATCGTCGTCCCTAAACCAAAATCAAAAAATTATCGGAGCAAAAAAAAAAGGGAAAGGAAAAGTACAAGTAAAAAAATAAAAAAAAATTTTTTTTTTGTTTAATTTTTGACTTTAGTGTAAATTAATTTTAAATTTTTTTTTCTCTTTTTTTCGTAGTTTTTTATTTCCAAACCGCGGGGTGTAAAGATATTTACCTTTTGGTGTTACCTGCCTACGGAGTCTTCAATTTATTTTTGTTATTTTTCTTATTTTTGTTTTATCTTATCCAATATCCATTATAATTGATGCCTTTACTTACGAAAAATGCTTACAATGCATACACATAGGTGCTTATTTCCAAGTTAATTTACAGTAAAATCTTTGAAAATTCAAACAGGTTTGCAGTTCTGTTCATTTTTTTAATACCTTTTCTAGAAGCCGCATAGCAGCAGAGACTTAACACACGCGTTGAATATAAACAACTTCGATTTTCTTGTTATGTGCGAGGGCCTTTAAATCTCCAATAGTCTACCAAATGCCATTCTAACCATTTGCAACTTGTTGTTTATGTCTTTCTCAGCGCCTCCAGATGGATATGATGACGTCTTCTACTGGCACAGCATTGACGTCGAACAGTACTAAATTTGTTAAATTTATGCGGAGCCATTTGACTTGTATTGATTTTGTGCTTTTGATTGTAAGTTGTTAGGCTTATTTTGTATATCTGCAAGTGTACGGGCCAGTAGGCTATGTCGTCTGCATATTCCAAATCTTCTAGAGGGCTCATTATGGTCCATTGTATATCGTTTTCAGTGGATGTTACGTTGCGCATTACCTCGTGTAGAACCAAATTGAATAGCAGGGGGAAGAAGGGGCATCCTTGCTTCACACCAACTCTTATTTGTTAGTTGCTCACTCAGCTCATTATTATGTTATACCCTGATTTCTGGATCGCTATATACAGCCCGCATGATGTTTTTGGTACTCCTCTTCTAGCTAGCGTTTTCCATATACTTTCACGAAGTGAAGTCAACGAATGTTATGAATAGTGCGTACCTCCACTCTACTGATTGTTCTACTATTAATCTTAGCGTGCTTGAATGGTCTATGCAACTTCTTTGTCTTCTGACAAGAGGTTTTTGTCTTCGGTCTGCAAAAATAAGGTTTTTGTCTTCGGTCTGCAAAAATATTTTTTCACTACTATTTTTTGCTACATTTTCTTGAATTATCAATCAAAAAGGTTGAATTATTATTGCAGTTGGGAAACACTCAATTTTGTTCTATCAATCTAAAGGTACTAAAATTTTTTTTTTATTATTCTTGTCCTAGTCAAATAAATAATAACTTTACTGTGCTTTCAATATCATTGATTCCTAATGGTTTTACATTTTTATTTACTTTTTTTTATTGTTTATTTTTTTTTTAACACAAAAATAATGGTATGATGAGTTTCTTTTTTTTTT